TCTAAAAGATTTGTAGAGAAAATATATGCAAAAATGAAAAGTGTTATGAATGATTTTACCTTCTTCATAGCACAGAACTCTATCAAACACGGTTAGAGCAGGAATTTGAACATGCTCTTGGACTTTAAGATGTAAATTGAAAGAAAAAAGCTGATTCATTCTTTATTTTTGCTCTTACCTTTTCTCTGCCTGTGAAAAACATGGTTCTGGATTTTCATGAAGCCACCAGTCAAAACCCTAGAGCACAATGTGCTCCTCCCTGCTTGCTGGTAAAATAATTAAAAGTGAACTTGTGCATGAAGAATGCAAGTACAGATGAGTCGTAACCTCTTTTTTGTTATTCCATCATTCATATTGAGACCTGAAATATTTTTCAGATTTTACTTATCACCAAAAAAAAACAAAAACATCTTTGGGGAACCAAGACTTGCATACTCTCCTGGCATACTTAACTGAGGTTTCTTCTATTCTTCTGAAGGAGAATGCTGCACACAACTCCTTTTTCTTCATCTGCGTTCTTGACCACGTCTCTTCATTTAAATTGTCTCTGTTCATTCATAGAGAATGTGAACCATGAAGGTTTCAATTCAATTGCAAATGTAATATTTGAGAAATGAGACTTTGCCGTGCACACACTCCTGCATCTGAACAAGAACAACACAAATCATTTGCACGTAACCGCCGGGCCTGGTTGTAACCTGATCTTTTCTGGATCGATTGATTCCATTCTGGTTTAATTCACCATATGATTGACTTTCAGCACGACTTACCGTAGGAAACATATCCCTGTACAGACTGTGCGGCCTTAAATAGTGCAGTAATTTGAATACAGATGCTTGCTGCTAAGACCTTGTCACTGGAAATGACTCCGAGTCAGGAGACAATTGCAGGTTGATTATGTTGCCACTGACAGAAGTTGCAGGTTCTCTGTGTGCATCAGACCCACTGACAGAAGTTGCATGTTGTTTGTGCATCAGACATATTTGCATTTAAATGCTTATTGTAGGCAGGCGAAGCATAGCCACTCTGATTGTCTGCACGACCTATCTTTTATATTTGTCTGAAAAACTAATTCAAATGAATTGCAATAAGGGATAATCTTTATGGGAATTATTTTTTTCCAGTGGTAGGAAGCATATCAAATCAATGTGCCAACATTTGTTGACTTGTATTCCGGCTTTAGTTATCAGTCACATTACGTCTTTCATCTATGTGTGTTTTATGAGTATGATTTGATCGGCACCTGCATAATTCATCTTAATATTTTTTTGTCTTTATCTGCTGTGCAAATATTTCAATTATTTATTCTTAATGTTGTAATTTCAATCAATAGAATTTTAAATTAAATACCTATTTTATTTGGGTGAATTGCATACGATTTGACTAAACGAACTTGAGAACTGTGCACTTTATTTAAATGTTTTAGATAACTAAAAAAAACCTTTTAAATACAATTTTGAATAAATAATGCAAATTTATTAGAATACACTCATCCCATTATAAACAACAGCTGTCAATGCAAGTTTAAATAATTTGAACTGTTTGATCCCTGCACAAGCTCAAATTCTGGATCTCATTAATTGTGCTGATATAATCAATAAAGCATTTTGTGAAGCACAATAAATAGTTTTAAAATCAATTTATAAAAATCTTTACAACACATTTTTTCTTTCAGTTGTTAATATTGTCCTCTTGTATGTATCATAGACGACAATGCCTGATAAACATTGAATTGATCTGCAACAAAAATTTGCCAAGTTAAAAATTATAGCTACTTGAATTTCTTTTAATTTTCTTTATTTAAATTCAAAATGCATGTCTGCATCCTGTTTGCTACCTCAGCTCAAATTTGATTCAAAATCAAGAATTGAATTGGAATTGAAGGAATATCCTTAATTCACAACCCTTACATCTGTACTTAATATCTGGTACCGTGCTTTTACACCTGCAGATCTGTCAGCTGTGTGCGTGCACTAGTTGATTTTTGTCAGGAGGAATATTGGCTCTGACAAAAACACCACTTTAGCTCTTTTGCTCTTCCGCCCACTGCTGGGTGTGAGTGGCCCGTCTTATGGCTCTGTTCTGCCTTATTTTCACCCACCCCCACCTCTTCTCCCATCAGTGGTCCTGCTGTTAGTACAGAGATAACCTGTCCTCCACCAGGTAAGAGACCGTCCTGCTGATGGGGGATATTGCCTCTTTTGTCCCAATAACTACTTCCCCTAAATCCCCTCTTAACATGTTCTGGACTTGGGGAAATAGGACATTTAAACTGATTTTATTTTTTGCAGGTTGCTGGATCAGAAGAAAGCTAAGGCAAAGTTGATGCAAATGAAAATGTTCCTTCCTTAAGAGAGTTCAGCATGTCCATGCTCAGAAAGATGAAGGATTTCATCTATATTTGACCCATCTGAACCACTTTGCTTTACATTACAGTTCAGCTTCTTAAAGCTCTCTTATCGGTACACATTTGCAGTGTATTATGTAAAGCACGCTACTGTACTTCTCCCACTTTTGCAAATATATTTAAAACAAGCTGCCTGCATCTGCCGTGCGAGAGCATGGCCGTTAATTAATATGAGGTTAGTCACTGATTCCCAACCCTCGTCATATGATGGTCAAAGACACAGTGCTGTTATGCAGAGGATTGATCAAATCAGCTGAACCTACTGTAAATGAACACATGCCTGGAATTTGTAGGCTCATTGGATTTCTGAAAGGACTTTTCTTTCTGAATTCATTCTGAATTCTTCTTCTTGAGTAAAATGTAAAGCACGTATATCACTGGCTAAGGCAAAGGTAACATCCCCACTCATCTGTTACTCTTACGTCATGTCATGTGTGTGTATCCATTGGCTTGTGCTCTTGGAGTCAGTTTGTGCTAGTGTGTTTGTTGGAGGGTCTAGCTGGAGTCACTGTCATAGTCGATGGATTGGCCTCACCAACACGAGCTTTAAGCACCCCACTTAACCTCTCTGAAAAATTCAGGACATTTTAAAAATCTGTATTTTTTTTAAACAGCTTAATTCTTTATCCTACGCAGTGTGGCACATGACTAAAGGTTGTTTCAAAGGAAAACCTATCATTAATTTTTGGGTGCCCCCTAGTCTGTCCTCATAGGGTTTAATGGGCCTTAGCTTTTCGTCTAGTAATTTGCCAAGACGCTTGGCTACTTGAACAGTTCTTCCTTTCTTCATCTCTCTTTATTTCAGCTCCCATTTGTACAACCACAGCTGCTTCATCACTGCAGTCATTGTCAAGAAGAGAAAAAAAGAACAGAGCTCAACATGTGAGAAAACCGCAGTGGTAGTTGCGGACACAATGAATCCGTAATAAAACTGTTGGGTGACTAATAAAAACAGGCTGGTGCTGATTGGAACTCTTTTTAAGGAATTCATGATCACTCATTTAGAAACGGCAGTGAAGTCCTGTTTAATCCAGCTCTGCTTAACACTACAGCTGCCTGTCACAGTCTTTTATACATTGCATGTTTTATTATTGCATTGGTGTAATTATTTCTAATATCATTGTCATCTTATTCATAATCAAAGAGGCCTTTTTTTCATCTAAACAAATATAAAATTACACCATTTTCTTTATTGCAAGCTTGTAACTTTCACAATTTTTCACCATCTTTTAGTTTTTTTGGCCCTGTGCAATTAAAACAGCCCTGTACTTATTAAAGCACAACAGGAATTAGTCAGATGTTGTATGGCTCACAAAGAGAAAAGCGTTTATAGAATTACTACCTCCGTCAAGGGTTTGTGTGGCACGAAAGAGAGCTGGCATTAACTCTGTGAGAAATATATGTGAGCGTGTGTGCATAAATACACACTGTGTGTGTGTGTGGTGTGAACTGGGATGCAATCAGGCCTCTGGCATGGTCCTTTGAGAACGTGGAATAGACTGTCAGCTCAGAGGTGCTATTAAGATGACAACAGCTTTCCATTCACACAAGGGTCAGACCTCCTGCCTCTTTTCTCCCATTGTCACCTTCAGCCTCAAGGTTGCCACATTCAGATCCATTGGAGACCAAAGATCTCAGTTTATTCTATTAACCCACCCTCCCACACAGCCATTTACTTGGTCTATGCATTTGACTTAGATCTTCAACGCTTGCACGGGAGGGCAGATTTTGGTTCCAGCAGAGATGGCGCAAATTGCAGTCGGATCAATTAGCTGTGACCTCAAACCCCTGTGTCCTTGTTTAATTGGTGATGCTGAGGCAGGCTAATTGTATAAATCAGCTGGTAATGAGATTCCTGCTTGTTGTGAAAAACAGAATAATGTGGAGAAATGAACATCCGTGAGGTTTATGCAGGACTCTTTCTCTCTCTCTTTTTTCATCTACATCTTCCGTCACATGCAGGGGAGGTGTAGTGCTACACATATGGTCGGATAATGGTGAAACTGGGTGTTGTCGGTGGTTTTGGTTCACCGTCTGTTTGTTTGTGTTTCCTTAGTGGTGCCGCCGTTGCTGGAGGACCTCAGAAGACCTGCTAGAACTAGCAGTGCGTGTAACTAAATAAATCATTAGTGCTCTGCAGAGAGAGGAATTAGAGAAAACAAGTGCTTTGTATGAAAGCCATTTATTAGTTGAATCAAACAGTGCAGGGACAGATTAATGAGGTATTAGAGAAGTGGACTCTAAACACTGTCTAGGATTGAGCTCCTCAGGGAGAGAGCAGAGTAACCGGAGGTTGTGCGGCGCTACGACTGTTTAACTTCATCTGCTGGGACTCTGACCGCCTGCCAGCAACCTCACTTCACTTCGCTCCTCTGATATCCTCTCTCATGATTTTCTGTTCTTCTGCCTTGTTTTTACTCTTTTAAAGAATGAATACGTATAATCAGCAATAATGCATTAAATTGATCAAAAGTGACAGTAAAGAGTTTTACATTGAAAGGAAGCCAATTCTGAGTTTTGCCCAACGCTTATATGTACACATATTTAATAAAGCCATGTAAACTTAATCACATTTATTTTTGTTCTGTTGTAGGTCATTTTCATGAATTCAAAATCAACTCACCAGTGATTTTTGGGAGCTGGAGATAGAGAAGTCTTTCTGTTTATGTAAGTATAAACAATACATTCTGCTTAATGCATCTTGTCCAACAACCTTGTGTAGCACTGCTCCATTAACACCTGTTTTTCCCCCATGATTGCTGCTGTCTTACCCCTTTATGTCTGTCTGCTATGATTTTCAACTCAAGAAACCACTGTTCATGCTTCATCAACACAGGAAATGGTGGCCTTACACAAATGATTACAATGATGAGTGTGTTGTTTTGTTCTGTGTCACTTTCCTAGAACTAAAATTGCTTGAAAATAACTTGTGTAGCACTGCTCCATTAACACCTGTTTTTTCCCCCATGATTGCTGCTGTCTTACCCCTTTATGTCTGTCTGCTATGATTTTCAACTCAAGAAACCACTGTTCATGCTTCATCAACACAGGAAATGGTGGCCTTACACAAATGATTACAATGATGAGTGTGTTGTTTTGTTCTGTGTCACTTTCCTAGAACTAAAATTGCTTGAAAAAACAGCTCATAACCACTCGTGACTTATATAAAACGCCACACATTAATGATTTTATAAAGATCATAGTCTTTTTGATACTTTTAAAAGGCATAAAGTAGTCATTTGAAAACTGGTTTGCTTGTTAGCACCTAACTCCACGTTCCACTCAAACACACTTCCATCAGTGCGTATGGAGCGAATCTATTCTCTATGCTAATACCAACTATGTTATTGGTACTTTCAGGCTGCCAGTTGCCCTCAATAAGAGCATTCACAGCAATGAAGAAAGAGCCCCCTTTAAAGAAACACAGACAGGGTCTTAGTAAACAGTCAATATACGGCTGCAGTTTTCTGCCACAATATGTCTTAAATGGGAGTTTTCTCTTTCCAGCCTAGTAATAAAGATCATATCTTGCAAAGTGTTGCTCCTGGTAATGTTGAGCAAACAAGCTTCCTGAAAGTTAAGTTCATATTAATCTTTTTTCAAATGTCACTTCGATATGAGGTGCAGGACAGAGTTATATTAGTGTGCAGAAAGCACCACTGTTGGCCCTGCATAATTAGGCCACTAAGAATGGCATATTCCAGCTCAAAGTTCAGGGCCGCACGCTAATGCAGCAGCTTTATCCCCGTGATTTCAAGTCAAACAGTGTCTTCGGCTCAGATCAATACGCTCTATTACACCGGGGCAGGCACTTTTTATTTTAGCTGCAGTTGTAGTGCTTGTCGCCAGTGTGTTAAGTCCGCTCTGAATGGCTGTCGGACGAAAGAGAAGCAGATCGGTGAGGTGAGCTGAATGGAGAAATAACAAAGGGGCCGGGAGTGATTATAACTTTTATCTGCCCAGCTTGTAACTGAAGGGAAGAGTCTTATAATGGAGGCCTGAAATATTATTGGACAATTGTGCTGGGTACAGTTATGATACCACTCTCGATGACTCTCAGATTAACCTCTGCTTGACAGGCATGCTGTTGTCTTTGAGCAAGAGTAGGTGTTTGTGATGTTTAAAACGGCAGAATTTCTGCAGTCGTTTTTGCCTTACCATTCAGGGTGAGGTTACATGATCTGTGTCGTACAACCGCCACTACAGAACAGCTGCGGCCTGTATCATTCTAGGTCTTGCGAACACATATTAACTTTGATATGTCACAGGGTCAGGTCTCTATTTAGGGAATGAAACGCTGATTGTAAGGCTGAATGAAGGTGAAAGGACCACTTGAGTTAGAACTGTAAACATCAGGCCTATACGCTGGCCTCGCTCCAGCACTGAGGGTAACAGTGTAAGCCTTGTACTGTACATCAGGTTGGCGTCGTGTCAGCATTTAAGACTGGTGCGAGTGTGCGTTTGTGGGTGGGTGAAAGTGAACACTTACAGCAGAGACAGCATTTTATTTTTCCATATTGAAAACTTTATTAAGAATTTTTTTTTTGTAGTAATAGACATTTAAAGTATAGTCATTTAAGGATAGCCAGGACCAAAATTTTAGATAATGAATAAATAAACAGTAAGATGTTTTGAGCAACTATGTAAACTAACTATCTGAAAGGAATTTTTTTATTTCAAAACATATTTCAGTCATTTAAATGCAAAATGGTTTTGCATTTAAATGCAATTGACGTGAAGGCCAAGCTTTCAGTGAGAGATACATTATTTTAAAGCTGTAAATATGTGTTAAAAATTCTTATCCTTGTCCAGTGTTTTTTTTTTTCATTTCAGTTTTCGTGCTGTTTAAATATGAGGAAGAGAAGAAATGTACCCGTCCAATGTTCTTTCTCTAATGCTCTGATGCTTACCAGACCTATGAGACCTAACACACCTATTAATCTACATTCCTTTGCAACTTTAATCTGCATGTTTAATTAATCACAAAATGAGCCAGTAAGCAATTTGGGCGAATGCGTGGCAGGCATGCGCCCGGCGTTTAATCACTCTTGCGAGAAGTCATTTGGAAACACCTGAGGAAAAGGCGACGGCATCTGTTTGAACAGGCAGAATGCACTCTTTGTCAGAGTGTGCCATTCATCCAATAAAGCTGCCGGAGCCTTCCTTCATTTTGCATTTAGCGTGTCTCACTGTTGATGTCTCTGTCGGGCCGGTGTCTCCAGGAATGATTTTCTGTAAAATAATTTAATAAACAGCACTCCTGGACCCCTAATGAAAATGAATAACCTTTGGGTGGTTATTTCCCCATATATTAACAGTCTCTCTCCAGCTACGGTTCTTCACTGACCCTCTTCTTGATTGTTGTCAGAGAGGCTGTTCAATAGGGGTCGGCATTTTAATTTCATCAGTCCCATCGGGGGAAAAAAATTATTCGTTCTCTTCTTTCCACCCAATAGAACATAACATTTCATCAGTGTGAATTTAGAATAAGGTTTAATTGTTGGAAATTTAATTATTCTCATGAAAGGAAGTCCTAAGGTCTTCGGACATCTGCGATGGTTGAGGTCCTCGCTGAAGTATTTAGGGCACGGTATCTATTCGTTTTCTTATTAGTTCTCATGAGGTTTAGTTCGGTGATGCCAAAAGCATCATATTCCGGCTCAGCACATATTTTTTTGCACGCATACAGGTGTGGCTTCTCAATCCACAGGGTTGTACGGGATACGTTTTTCACATTAAATTCACTCTATTTATTTGTGCTACATTCAGCTGGTATAGTCCAGCAGACCAGAGCGACTTTATCTGAGAAACATTGATCATCTAAAGCAAGGGTGTCAAACTCCGTTCCTGGAGGGCCACAGCCCTGCACAGTTTAGATATAACACTAATTAAACACATCTGATCCAGCTAATCTAATCATTTAGGCTTATTTGAAAACTACATGGTATGGTTGGAGCAGGGTTGGAACTAAACTCTGCAGGGCTGCGGCCCTCCAGGAACTGAGTTTGACACCCCTGATCTAAAGCATGAGATTTTCAGTAGTCTTCTATCACCAACATCCCAACAACACGCTGTCATGACTGGGGCAGTGGCCTCTGACAAGGTTTATTCAATATATCATCCTTATGGCTTGATGTGCTTTATCTAATTTTCAGAAGAATTATACATAATATAAACTTGGCAGTCTTCCCTCGTCTAAAGGTACAGACAGTAACCAACGTAAACAATGCATTTTCTTATTGGCTATATATGGCCATAGACATACTGAGGAACCAGTCATTAATCTCCTGGCTTCCACAGCTGGGCAAAGTAATGCATAACTAAAAGTCCTGTAAAATGAGTTAATGCTTCCAACCATGAACTTTTCTCCCAAAATGCCATGAATCCTCCTGAGCTGATAATGTGCCCTAACCCTGGGGTGTGAAATCCTTGTTATGTTGAGAGTTGCCAGTTAATTGATTCGCAAATTATTTAAAGTTTGTGGGGCCCAAGGGAGCGCTTGGCTCTAATGATGCCCATTCCCAGAGTTTCCTTCTCTCTGTATTCCACTGCCTCTGTGTGATTGTAATAAGCTAATACTCCTTATCAAAGATTTACAGTGCATTTTCCCCAGTAGGAAAAGTGGAAATATAGAAATCTTAACTCACTTAATGAGAGGGAAGCTTTGGCAATAATTCATCATTTAGCACAAAAACTGTAACATTTTGGTTAATAATTAATTGTATTAAATTATAATTATTATTTACATTTTTAAATAAATATATAAATATAAATGATAAAAATGAATATAAATGTAATACATTTAAACATTTTCTATTTATAGAAATATATTCATTTTTACAAATGTGTATTTAACTGTTGTTATACATACACACAACGTATTTCATAATAATAAACTCAAAGCTATGCATTATATCTGTTTTTAGCTGCATTTTTAAACGATCCACATTAATTTTTCTTTTTACTTATTTTCTGCTTATTATATTGAATATATAAAGGCATAGTCTTGCTATTTTATATTTGCGTGCCACCTGCATGAAGCTTATATGAAAAGACGGCTTGTTCTGTTGTTCAGCAACTTCTCAAATTTTATTAGAGACAGTGCACATTTCATTGTTGGGTTTATTTCATTGACGCATCTTGACTTATCTTATTTTTTTGTTTGTGGATCCCTAAAGCATGAATATGTCTCCCAGTAATAAGAGGAATATTTTTAGATAGGAATAGTTGAGTGTGACTTGTTCAAGAAATCTGTTTTTTATTTTCTTGCCCATGTAGATTGTAAAGGCACTTTGAGGTCATCCGCACACATAAAACATGCCCGTGAATCTGATTACCACTTGACTCGTAGGAATATAATGACCACTTCTTGCTTCTCTGCTGCATATAATGGGGTAGATTATCCAGCATGCTTTCATTCACAAGTGCAATGCCCACCCAAACACTTAGTGAGTCAGAGAGATAAAAATAGAATTCACCTTGAGTCACTCCTATAGTTATTTTTGAGATTTAATATTTCATTTATGCAACATCTTTCACTAAACAACATAGCATCCTTTACATAACCTCACATCTCACGTGCAATGAATGAATGGCGCACTTGAACGTAGTTTAACATTGTTGCGTTTTAACTTGTTTAACTTTGTTCTGTCTCCTTCAACTAGCCC